CCTGGGGAGGGGGTAGAGGCATTTCCCCTCCCTCCTCTGCTCCCCAAGCCGTATTTCTGTTAGATCTTGCACATGCTTTTTAGGGGTTTATGTTTTGCTTTAGGGCTGCATTTAGCATGAGCCCACTTTGCTCCCAGTCCCCCAGGAGTGCCGTGGGACTGGGCAGTGAAGCTGCATCCCACCCTGGGGGGCAAAGTCCTGCTGCCAGGAGGGTACCCCAGCCACCTCCCGAGAGGATGCAGGGTGAGGAGGACCACGGTGGGGATGCCTGACGTTCTCCCACCGCGGCAGGGATGAGGCACACGCAGGGCAGGAGGGAGGGAGAGCGGGAGGAAAGCTGATCCTGAAGTTTCCATCATGTGAAATTGAAGCGCATGTGCCTATAATGAAATATTTCCTCCCATTTCATGGCAGCTCAGTAATTCCTGATGGCAGGGAGCCTGGGAAAACAGATCCCCCCGCTCCCACCCACGGCGCCTGACCGCATGGGCACAGACAAACAAGGGCTTCGTTTTGCCGGGCTGCAGCTTCTCCCCACCTCCCGCCAGGACACCTTATAGCATCCTCCAGACACAGCCCCGTGGGGAGCCCCCTTCCCCTTCCTCCAGCCAAGGGAAACCTGCATTTCCAAGGGTATTTGGCAGCAGGGCTGCAGCAGCTTGGCACCCCCCCCACCCTGTGTCCCCAGAGCCAGGCAGGCTGCCTGCAGAGCTGGGACCAGGGGTGACACCAAGGGCTGCCCCCCCTCCAGTAGCCACTGCTTTCATTTACTTTTGAATTATGTGGTTTTTTCCAGCTTCTCTAAATTTAATTAAACTTTGACCAAAATGCTAAGCGGGGAAAGAGAATAGAAAAAGGGGTTTGTGCCAGAACAAGCACAGTAATAATATTAATAATAACAAAAAGCAACAAGGAGCCCTTAAACACACACGGGCTGGGTTGTAGGAGTTCAGGCTACTGGGCTGAGTCAGGCAGATCCCTGGGAGTCTTTGAAATGCTCCCGACAGGGGATGGATGCAGCTGAGGACACCAGAAAGCTGCTGCAGCATCAGATTTCCTTTTGAAATTGTATTTTTCATAAAAGAAGGAGGCAGAACACCCGTAAGCTGGTGGCACAGAAATGGGCAGAGATGAGGGTCAGATCAAAATACAGCTCATGTCTGGGAGGAGGAGGCTTTGATGGGGAGCTGAAGGAGCTCTTGTGCTTATTTCTTGTCCCCATTTGTGTTGTAGCAACACCCCAGACCTGGACAAATCCCCTGTCATGGTGGGTGTTGCATTCCCCCGTGTGTGGACCCTGCAGACACCATCCTGCTATGTGAGTTTATGCCTCCTAACAATCCACTCCTCACCATTTAATGGGAAACCAGTGATTTTTTTTTAAAGCACAGATGCTGGAGCCCTTGAAGAAAAATCATATTTCTGTCCCTCCTGCTCTCATTCTGTTCCCTACTAGTTTGATAAAGGAGTGGTCAAAGTGTTTATTCAGGCTTAGCTCCTAAGATGCTGCTAACAGGATGAACTTAGGATCATATAAATTCCTCAGCCAGATAAATGTCCTGTGTAATCCTGTATCTGTCCCTGACAGTAGCCAGTACCAGATGCTTCCTGGGATGTGACCAGAAAGCTTCACCACATCTGCAGATGGAATTACCTGCCCACAAAGAAACCTTACCCCTGGTGCCTCTCATTTAGCAGCTGGTTTGACAGACTTAAAGGGGAAAAAAATACAGAAAGTGAGGGCTTTGTTGATTTTATTAATTAATTCTGCCTTTTGGGGGTCAATAGGAGAGCAGGCTCAAGCTGTAAGTCACCCACCTGCAGAGAGGGAGGCGTGTGGGTGTCTCAGAGGTGACTCCTGAATCCAAGGGCTGGGCGCTCTTCCCGCACGTGGGCTCCGCTTCGTTTCCCACGTGCTTCATGCATTGCAGGAGTGGGAGGCAGGACCTTGGAAGTGGAGTGGAAACTCACTAGCATGAGTTTGCAATGAACATTACTCATTTCTTGGTACAAAACTTAATTGGGGGATTTCAGGACCTGATGCAGAAAGACCAACAGGGAAGATGACTGTATCCAGCGTTTTACATGGCTGCTTAGGATTGCAGAGGCTCAGGCTTATTAATGCTCTGGCACTGATTAGATCTGAGTGTGATTAAACCATATCAGGAAAATCAGGCATCCTGGATTGCAAGCAGAAGTGAGCCAGGAGGCTGCAGAGGAGCACAGGGACACAAACTATCAGCTCCTTCCAGCACATGGAGCCCAACACCTTCGGGCTGGTGTTGCTCAGAGTCACCCCTTCAGGCACCACCCACCAAGTTGTTCTTGAATTCAAACAACTGCAACAAAATGTGTTCGGTGGGAATGCAACTTTGGGTGGAGAAAATCCTGTAGCAAAGAGCTCTCCTTTTGCTGCAGGATTCCTTCCATATAGTTCCCTGATGACATTCCCAGCCAACACCAGTCATGGAGCCCCTTCTTGTGAGGAAAAGGAACTTGCTGAGTAGCAAAGCTCCTCAGCATCACCCTGCAGGCTGGGAGCTGGTGGCCGTGGAGGGCTGGGGAAGGGCTGGACGTCAGCCTGCACTTTGAACATTACTGAGACATCCTTCCAGATCTTCTCCTGGGTCGTGTTCCATTCCCAGGTCTATCCCTCACAGTAAAATGTTGCTTTTCATGGAGCATCTTCCCTTACCCCACACCACAGGAAGGTGGGATGACCCCCAGGTCAGAGCACTCCCTTGTTGCTGAACAACGAGAGGCAAAGCCACGAAGGAAAAAGAGAACTGGGCTGGGCCTCCTGATGCCAAAAATTAATCTTGTTGAAAAGCTGTTGCCTCCTTCCCTTCCATTGACTGAGAAGATCTTGACATGAGACACCAGAGGGAGGGTAGCCAGGGAGCTCATAGAAAAGCCAGGAAAGCAAAAACCCTGAAAGAAGCCATTGGATATTATATTCTGTATTTCTCTTTTCAGAACCCATGGGTCTGTCTTTGCAAATTAAATAGGAATTGCTGGAATAATTGGATAATCAACACTAATTTTCTTGATGTGAGCAGAGATGGATGCTCATGGAGCTTAGTTGGCCATAATTAATACCTTTGTTTACCCCTTAAAAAAGAAACA